TTTAAATTTATGCTATAGATTACCAAATAGTTTATCTGAGAAAATTTATAAACTTATTTAATATTAGTGGCCACTGAAGATTATTTTTAATTTAGTATATTGATAGTTATATACAATTTTTCGTATTTTATGATTATTTTTGAAAAATTTATATTCATTATTATAAAAATATAATTTTGATTTCTCTCAATATTTGATGTGGTGTGGTGAATAACAGACTAACTCACTCTATCTTTTACTTAGCAAACAACCCAAATCCTGGTATCGCTGTTGTGTTTGTGGGACAACGTCTCGAAAAACACCAGACAGGAAATTCTTCAGATTTCCTAAGGATCCTATTAGGTAAATCATTTCTAAGTTTAAAAGAAACTAAGCTTTGATTATTATTAATATATATCTCCATTTTTGATAGAGCAGCAAATATTTCATGTATTTGGAATAATTTAAATAAATAGCTTGTTTTTTTCCATTAAGTGTTCCTCATCATAGACAAATAGTTCAGTGTTCTTCTGTATTCCAAATAACTGTGCTTGTGATTGTGGGCGACATGGAAAACAAAGATTAGGAAATTCGATAAGTTTACAGATTTATATAAGGAAATCTATTTCTAATTGCAGTTCTTAATCTCGAAATCCGGCTTATTATTTTTTGCAGACTAAGCAATTTTTAAAAGTACGCTTGAACTTTCGATTATCAAAAGAATTTCTTTATTTATATATAAAGGATCTACAAAGCGAAATATATTTATATTCAAAAATAATTTGCAAAAAAATGATATAGTAATAAATCAAATATTTCAAATGCAATATTTCAGAATTTGTATTTGTAAAATAATTAAATAAATAATTTTTTTTTCTTTTTTTTTTAAGTGTTCTCTCATCATAGACAAATAGTTCAGTTCAGTTCTGTGTTCCCTGTGTGCCTGTGATTTCCCAGTTGCTCCAAAAGTGTTCATACACTTTAAGAATTTGTAAAAAATGCGCTGTAGCCCGGAATTGAATTTGATTATAAAGCCCAATATTTTCTCATATCTCGAAGTGATTTTGAATAAAACCAAATTTTTAAAAATTTTTTTCTTCTAATATTTTAGAAGATAATTTTTGTAATTTATGTATTACAAGCTTGAATGCTGCAGGATATCCTACAAAAACTGACAGAAATTTAACTGCAATATTTCGTAATAGTGTCTGCAGATTTCTTTAAAGTGCACGAAGATTTTTGTGAGGTAACTTTTTTGTTACTTTTTAATTATTAATTCCCCCCCCAAAGTTTTACTGTATTCTTATAATACTTTTATAGAGTTTTGCTAAGATAAATTTATAGATATTAAAAAATTCTCACAGCACTATTTCACTGAAACATAAGTGTACGAACACTTTAGGGAACCACTACATATTAGTGTGAATAAGGAAGGAAACATTTTAAAGATGCACTTTACGAACAATGTGTACTTTTTATTGGTGCCTTATCCTTTTTTAATCATATTGTTAACAAAACTGTACAAAGAAATGCTAAATTGTTTAACTAGATACTATGACCGGTAACTACAATTTAACACAATATCTGCAAAATTATTGGTTTTCGTACATCAAAATAAAATTAGATGAAATGCAATCGTTTCAGAATTTGTTACTAATGTAAAAGGAATTTTTTAACAAGGTTAAATTTCTAATAACACTGAAAAGAGGTTCTTTTAATTAAAGAAAATAAAATTGTTTTTTGTTTTCATAGATCAAAATAATAGAGAATTAGTATAAATATGTCAGAAATGTAATAAATCATATTATGTACATGAATTTTTCCTTAAATTATAATTTAATGTTTGTTCTTAAAAAATATATAACCCTTCTCGAGATTGTGTAACTAATGTATAAGGAATGTTTTTAGTTTGCTATTTTTCTACTAACACTGAAAATGGATTTATTGAAATTTAAAATATAAAATTAATGTTTTTCATTTTTATAGATCAAAACAATGGGCTGCCGCATGCAGTAATCAAGACTTGTTAAATAAATCACCAACTGATTTGTATAAAACTGCACTAATATGTTCGTCACACTCTTCAAAGATCACGATTACTGTTCACCAAAGATGCGATATTTACATTCCTGTGCAGTGCCGACAAAATTTGAACAAACAGGTATCTAGTGTTTACTGTTATTATGTTTATGTTATTATTTCAATATGCTTAACAATAGCGCCATCTAAGAAATAACTCATCAATAATAGTGGATCACCTGTCATGTTATGCTCAAAGAATACTGTGCAACAAAATTGATGGTTTGGATCGCCTGTCATGTTATGCTCAAAGAATGCTGTGCAACAAAATTGACGGTTATTAGTCGAAATATTGACTGTTGATTTTTGGCAAAATTAAAATTATGTCAAATCCAAGCATACAGCATTTTTAGAATTATTATATGTATAGTGAAGGTGGAAAATAGGCATTTCTTGCAATTGCTATTTAAAAGAATTAATTTCTAATTTCATAATTTGAAACAATCTTCATCAGGATGAGCTGCAACAATATTTATTTGATTCAGTGGATTATTTACAAAACTTCTTAATACCTATAGGTTTGATTTTCAAGTTAAGTATTTAATCTTATATTAAATGTGAGAAGTATTGAATATTTTATGAACAAAAAGAATGAAATTAGTTATTTTAGTAATTTATGTGCAACTTTTGTAAGACTTTTTAAATGTAATCTTGTATTTGTTAATTTAAGTGAAATGCTTTTGGCTTTTGGTTGCAAACTTTGCTCTTTTTTCATAATGGTCATTCCAAATAATTAAAATTTCTCTTTTTTTTTTTTTTTTTTTTCTTTAAAGTTGAGGTCAGATAATTGTAATGTATTTCAGTGTTTTCAATTTATTTAGGGGTACTTTTAATTGTTTTTAATTATTTTTTCTGTTTTGGTTAGTTATATGCAAATTTTGCTTGTAAAATTTTAAATATGGATTCATAAAAATTCATTATGTGTTGCATGGTATGTGTTTTTTCTTTTTTAAGCTTACAGAATTAAATGTACTCATTGGTCGAATAATTTTTCTTATTAAATAGATTTTTGGCAAAATTAAAATTATGTAAAATCCAAGCCCAAGCATACAGCATTTTTAGAATTATTATATGTATAGTGAAGGTAGAAAGTAGGCATTTTTTGTAATTGCTACTTAAAAGAATTAAGTTCTAATTTCATAATTTGAAATAATCTTCATCAGGATGAGCTGCAACAATATTTATTTGATTCAGTGGATTATTTACAAAACTTCTTAATACCTATAGGTTTGATTTTCAAGTTAAGTATTTAATCTTATATTAATAAATGTGAGAAGTATTGAATATTTTATGAACCAAAAGAATGAAATTAGTTATTTTAATAATTTTTGTGCAACTTTTATAAGACATTTTAAATGTAATCTTGTATTTGTTAATTTAAGTGAAATGCTTTTGACTCTTTGTTTTCATAATGGTCATTCCAAATAATTAAAATTTTTTTTTTTTTTTTTTTTTTTAAAGTTTTTTTTTGAGGTCAGATAATTATAATGAATTCAGTGTTTTCAATTTATTTAGGGGTACTTGTAATTGTTTTTAATTATTTTTTTTGTTTCAGTTAGTTATCATGCAAATTTTGCTCATAAAATTTTAAATATGGAGTTATAAAAATTTATTATGAATTGTATGGTATGTGTTTTTTCTTTTTTAAGCTTACAGAATTAAATGTACTCATTGGTCGAATAATTCGGGATTAAATAGATTTTTGCAAAATTAAAATTATGTAAAATCCAAGCTACAGCATTTTTAGAATTATTATATGTATAGTGAAGATGGAAAATAGTCATTTTTGTAATTGCTATTTAAAAAAATCAATTTCTAATTTCATAATTTGAAATAATCTTCATCAGGATGAGCTGCAACAATATTTATTTGATTCAGTGGATTATTTATAAAATTTCTTCCCAGGTTTTAATAACACCTGGAAGGTTTGATTTTCAAGTTCAGTATTTAATCTTATATTAATAAATGTAAGAAGTATTGAATATTTTATGAAAAAGTAATGAAATCACTTATTTTAATAATTTATGTGAAATTCTTTAAAAGGCCTTTTAAGTGTAATTTTGTATTTGTTAATTTAAGTGAAATGCTTTTGGTTCTTGGCTGCAAAATTTGCTCATTGTTTTCATAATGGTCATTCCAAATAATTGTCTAAAAAATTTCTTGGTATTTGTGAAGATGCTTAAAATTATTTTGCATATGTATATTCTGAAACTTGAGAAATGTCAATAAAAATCATTTTTTTACCTCAAATGTGTTATTCTTTGTTTTAATATTTAATAATATGCTTGATATGAAAAGAAAAATAGCGTTATTTATGTAATTAATTGCAGATTTGTTAGAAATCTAACATCACACGGCAGTAGTTAATTTTGTTTTCTATTAATTCTGATGTTAGTTATAAATTAATGCTAGATATTATATCAAAAGAATAACAATTATGTGAGTTTACAGAAAGAAGGGTTAAGGGGAAAAATAAGGAATATAAAAATAATAAAATTTATTTATTTATTCATTTATTTTGCAATTGAATTTTAGGATGTTCTATGCGAAACATCTAGACGATTAAAGATTAGAAGATAAAAGATCAGCTACACAATTTATCTGAAATGTATGAAAATAAAACATTTTGAGGAATTTCAAAGTAAAAAAAAAAATTACTATCTCCTCGGACTGCGCTATTTAAATTTAAATTCCACCCTGCGCTGCTGTTTCACTGCATAGCCGTGGCTCCTCGATATAGCGGCGCAGCGCAGAGGCGAAACAAGTTTACATTGCGTCTATGGAAGCTTTCATTCTTTTCCTTACAGATTCTTTGATTATAGGTACAACGGTTCTTGGACAATGCGCAGATACAAGGGGGAGGATGCCTTAAAGAAGCTCGACATCCATGTTCTTCAGCTGACGGAGAACATGCCGGAACTTATTCTTTCTTAGATTTTGCGCGAAAGGACCATCGCGTGATAACAAAGACACGCCCATAATCTGATGTCACCGAGAACTCTAATTTAATTGGCTGCTTACATAAGGGTACGGCGCGGGGTCCAGCTTCTCGTTTAATAACGTGTCCCGTATTTTTGCACATGGTACCTGCAGTTCTTGCGAAGCATCCAAGAACTTAACTACTCGGGATAAAATATTTTGCAAATTAATGTATGTGGAACATGGAATGTAATTCAAATATTTAAATCCGTAAATTCTTCAAATTGTCATTTAGCAAGTCTAGAAAATTCAGAACTTCATCTAATCATAATGTAGCCATTATAACATATATAGCAAGTTATATGATATAACAGTTTTCAGCTTTTAATTCTTTATAAAGGAAAGAAATGTCATGCGTAGGAGATAGATAATGAGTTTACTTAAAAAAGATAATGTTTTAAAAGAGAAAATGCATATCAGTGCTGGAGAGAAGCATCATGTGAATGAGGTATGTAACACATCACTTGGATATAACAGTTATTTGAACAGACATATTATCTTCCACAACGGGAAGAAACTTTTTCAGTGTAATATATGTAACAAGTCATTTACACAAAAGGGTCATTTAAAAATGCATATGCTTACTCATACAGGAGAGAAACCTCATACGTGTGAGGTATGTAACACATCATTCCAAAGAAAGCATAGTTTAAATGAGCATATGCTTATTCACACAGGAAAGAAACCTCATGTGTGTGAGGTATGTAAGAAATCATTCGTACTAAAGTATCGTTTAAAGGAGCATGTGCGTATTCACACTGGAGAGAAACCTCATATATGTGAGGTATGTAACAAATCCTTCAGACTGAAAGGCTGTTTAAATGACCATATGCGTACTCACACAGGAGAAAAACCTCATGTGTGTGATGTGTGTAACAAATCATTCAGCAAAATTGGTACTTTAAGCGATCATATGCTTATTCACACAGGTCAGAAACCTCATGTATGTAAGGTATGTAACAAATCATTCAGGCTGAGAGGTAGTTTAAGTGACCATATGCTTATTCACACAGGAGAAAAACTATATGTATGTGAGGTGTGTAACAAATCATTCAGACAAAATTGTACTTTACGCGAGCATATGCTTATTCATACAGGTCAGAAACCTCATGTATGTGAGGTATGTAACAAGACGTTTAGAAGAAAGTGTGATCTGAATGTGCATATGCTGACCCACACAGGAGAGAAACCTCATGTCTGTGAGGTATGTAACAAGTCATTTCGAAAAAATAATCATTTAAGTGAGCACAAGCTTATCCACACAGGAGAGAAACCTCATATGTGTGAGATATGCAACAAGGTATTTAGACAAAAAAGTGATTTAAACAGACATACAAGGCTTATTCATATAGGAGAGAAACCTCATGTGTGTGAGGTGTGTAACAAGACATTCAGACTAAAGTGTGAAATGAATGTGCATATGCTGATCCACATAACAGAAACTTCATGTGTCTGAGATATGCAATGAGTGATTTAAACAAAAGAGTGCTTTAAACTAGCGTGTAATAATTCACACAGGAGATAAATTCCATTAGTTAAATGTGTAACAAGTCTGTTAGACGAAAAAATATATTAGGAAGTATGTCTGCAGAGAACAGAAGCCTCATGTCTTTTGTGAAAATCAGATTAATAAAATCCTCTACTTATCTCTGCAGGAAGATCTTGTGTATGCAAGAAACAAATCTCATTATGTGAGGTATATGTAAGATGTATTTTCATGTAAGTTCTGCATAAATTATTTCTTTGTTTCTTTAAGAGAAGAACCTTATGCTTGCAAGATCAATGAGAAGTCCCTTTAAGATATTGCCAACTTAAAGCAATATCTGGTTATTCTTGGTATTTAACAAGGAAAGAAAGTTCTAAAACAGCAAAAGTCTAGACTTTTAGAGTTTGAGACTAATTTTCATATTCATAAGCTGGAAACTATATGGGTCTCACATTTCCCAAATATCGAATTTTGAATCCCTCACACTGGACTGCACTTTTCACAATATTTGTGAAAACTACAAAGATATATATATATATATATATATATATATATACTGTTTTATAACATCATTAACACTACAGGCTGATATTTTTCTTTTACTCCTCAGAAGTGAACTTTTGTGGAACTGCAAATTCCACAATTAACAATATACGTGCGACTTTGAGCAAAGCCAAAGCTTTTTGAGGAAGTCTGCTCCCTTTCACAAGCTTCTTCAAGTAAAAAGGTTTTACACAATAGCTACTGTTCATTATCTACCTGTAAGTGCTTAGTGTAAATCTTCTGCCAGTTGAATGTGTACCTTTTGCCAGAATGCATTATGTGGATAACTTTTTGTGACCTTTTTGAAATACTTCTAGTTCTTAAATTCTGAAGAACAGCAAAATATTTCTTCTCAGTAGACATATACTAGTTTTTAAGGGTTTTTGTGCTCAAGTTGGTTATTTCTGAGTTTTATACAAATTGTGGTTACAACACTGTAATTAGTTATAGAAGCATATTCCTAATCCCCTTTGGCAGATTGCACAAGATACTTCCAAAAATATTGAAGTGCTTTGCCATCTAAATCCAAATGCTAACACATCAATATGTATCTTTCACAAAAACAAGTACAGGGTTACCAGATCTAATACTGAAAAGGAGAAAAACGGGCATCTCAAATTCTGCCAATTTTTGCATGTATCTGTATTGTAGGGAAACCCTACATGTGTAAAGTGTACCAGAAGCAATCTGAGAAAACTAACCAGTTGTGAAACACTTTCACCATGCAGGGAAGAAACCCATGTATGAAACTAGCCAGATTTGGAAAATTTTGTCATTTTGGGGATTTTAATTAAAAATATACTCTGTTTTGGTATTGTACCTAACAGGTGTTTGTGAAATAGGACTCTCATAGAATTAGTTAAGCATAACTAGTTCATTTTGAAGTTTTATTTCATGGAGATCATTCGTCACAGCTTTAGTATTAGTCCTTTTTGGCACGATAAATGAAAGATTATGATGACCTTGTTATTTATGGTAACCCTAAATACTGAGCTGAAAAACATGCCGCCATTTCTGTCCTCATAACTTTAACGAATTTGGTTGGTATCGAAGGTTTGGTGGCAGGAGAGATAAATTGCATATTTTTCTTAAAGTTTCTTTCATGTTAGTAAAGTACAACATTTAAAAAGCCAAAATTTGATAATTAAAACTGATGCTTTTAATATTACATCACATGAGTCGTGACATTTTTTCATATGCCAACTCTGCATGTTATAAACTCCAACCCCCCCCCCAAGGAAAAAAACACATTTTGAGTTGCATGGGTAAACTCTTGGTGATTCCTTTGCTAAGGAACCACATGCAAATTTAGACTTTTTAGGCATGCAGAAATTATACAATTAAAAATATGAAACCATAATTTATGAATTAGAGCAATTATGATCTAAAGGGTATCAAATATTACCAAAAAAAAGCTTAATATTTATTTGTTTACTTTATTAAACATTTCTTTCAACGTGCGCATGCGTACTTATGCGCATTCCTTATGCTCATGCGTAAAGTTTGTGGCTTTGAGGTCTGGATTATAGATCATTCCGGATAATGGACATCCGGATTACAGACTTTGTACTGTATAGGGATGTATAATTGCTTCCCCCCAAAGAAAAAAAAAAAAACTCATTTTTAGTAGCATGAGGTAAACTCTTGGTGTTTCCTTTGGTAAGGAACTTCATTCAAATTTAGACTTTTTAGATGTTTTCTTAAAATGGGCCAATGATCAAAATTACCATGGTCTATTTTGCCTCATTTCTTAAATTAGAACTATAGGGATGTGTAATTGCATGAATTCATAGACCAAAATTAGGTTTTGTTATTGCTTTTATAACATTTGTGCGACTACAAAAAATATAATGTTGCTTAGATTATGGAATACATGCTTATAATTTACAGTTCTCAAATTTTATAAATCTCACAATCTAATAGCTGTATATGAATAACCTTCACTGAGTATTATTACTTTTATTAATAGTATTGTTGACATAACAGTCAACTTTTTATTTTAAATTTTATGCAAATTTTCTACATTACTTAAAACATTTAATCTAACAGAAATCTGAATTTTTTGTAATAAAAATTCTATAATAAAAGTAAGAGTACAATTTATATATAAAAATTTGACTACATGGCAAGCACTTAGATACTGATTTCATGTCTTTAAATGCAATTATTATAAGGTTTAAATATATTTTACTAAGTTCAGATATGCTCTTATTCTATTAAAAAATTTAAAATGTACTGAACAGAAGGCACACTTTGTGCTTACAACTCAGTCACCCACTTTGGCAAGATAACTTATGATAACAATTAAGTTTAAATGTAAAATTTAAATTCAAATAAATTTAGCCAAAGGCTACACAAATCAGTTTAATGCAAAGTTTGTTTAAAACTTAACCGGCATGGAATTCAACTATCAGCAATTATAATGCAGGACTGAAGACTACAAATCTTATCTTATCTAGCAACCTAGTAACATGGCCTCTAAAGGCAAAACACGGTTTGTTTTACAAACTAAAATCTTCATTTGGATTTTGGTGGGAAAAAGGATGGGGAAATTGACAGTAAAGTTCCCAACCATAAAAAAACTCTGGTTACAAGATAAAAGAACGTTACATTATACTTTGTTCCCTGATTAATTATTCACTACATGAAATAGTGTAATGCATTTTTTGTTGCATCATATACAAATTATTTATTTTTTTAAATGCTGTCCAAAACTGAACAGGATTTTTCAAACATATTGACCATATTTTTCAAACTATAGATGCAACACTTCTTCACTTCAGAAGTAAGACTTAGAATCAAGAAATAAGAAGAGAGAAAATATGAATAGAAAATAAATATATATGCTGGCTAGCAGAAGGATGCCTTTATAAAGGACATTTTTAAGAGAAATGGGTTCAGATTCACATTGCATGTAAGGAAAACCACGAAATGTTACTCCCATATAGCCAAGCCTGAACTACCACTGTTCAGTGGCTTATCACTCCACTACTAGTGGGATTCCAATGACTGTTTGAATCTTTCAGAGAAAATCATCAGTTATGATGATTGTTGTTGTGTATGAATTACCATTGGTACAAAATTTACTCATATGAACGATTTTAATTTTAGCTTTTAAAGTTATAATCATAAATTACATGTAAGTAAATTGAGTGAAAAAATACACACTTCTTAATATTTTTACCATTTACAAAATTTAATCATAAAGTATTCTAACACTGATACAAAATTTACTTGTTATAATTTAATTTGATTTCCTTCACTTTGAAATATTTTTTTAAATTTTCTTTTATTAACAGAATCTAAGAAACTAAAGTAACATATACTAGTTTGAAATGCATTTATTAACCTTTTGTAAATTTCATTATTCATAACATAAAAATTAACCATTTGTAAATTTAAAATAATAGCTAAATACTAGTACAGTCAAAAGTCTTTAATCCGGACTCGTTGGGACTTTCGCGATTCCGGATTATGGGGAAACTGATTATAGATCATCAGTTTAAATCGAAAGAAAGACGTACGACTTTTTCCTTCCTTTCTAAAAAAAATTGCAATTTGTTCGTTTTCAACCAATCAGCTACAGTCAAAAGTCTTTAATTTGGACTTGTCGGGACTTCGGCGATTCCGGATTATCGGTTTTTCCGGATTATAGATCATCAGTTTAAATCTGGTAAGATGGCATGCAGAAATTATAAAATTAAAAATATGAAACCGTAATTTATGAAATAAAGGGCAATTATGATCTAAAGGATATCAAAATTTACAAAAAAAAAAAAAAGCTTAATATTTATTTGTTTACTTTATTAAACATTTCTTTCAACACGCACATGCGTAGAGTGTACATTATGCATAGTCGAAATTAGAAAATTGCAACCAGAAAACTATGATGTGTATCCGTGATATTTATAATGACGAGGAATTTGATTTAAATCATATCAAAGATGGAGCACATCGAGATGAAATACTACATTTAGTAAGGAATTATAAGCCGAATAAAATAAAAACATCTGCCCTGAAGATAAGGATAGTGCTGACAGATCAACTTCCAGTTCATTGCATGCCACAGCGTTAAAGATAAACAAACGTTAAAGTTTAGATAAACAAAGGATATGCCTTTATCCATTTTTTGCAGCAATTCCACTTTTTGTTTAATGGACTCCGAAACATACTTTCGCTTTGTAGATCTTTTACATATTAGTAAATATATATCGGAAATTCTATTTGACATAATCTAAAGTTGAAGCTTACTTTTATAACATTGCTCTAACAGTCTGCAAAAAATAATAAGCGGGATCCAATTAGAAGATTAAGGAACAATGCAATCTGCAACATTAACTGAAATAGATAATTAAATAATTTTAGCTTAGCTTATACTGCCCGTTATACATTAAACATTTATGCATCGCGTTTATGCATGCGCAGAAAGTTTGTAGCTTTGATGTCCGGATTATAGATCATTCCGGATTATAAATTCATTTACGGTAATGTTTCAAGAATTTATCATAGCAGTACTAGAAATGTTGAAATTTAAAGAAAGACTGTTTATTCTAATCAAGAGCTTATTTTTTAAGATTGTTATTTAGTCCAGATCGAGTTTTGTTGACAATCTGCCATTTTTTTTCCAATTTTCAAAGCTGGGCCTCCCTTGGCGACCAAAGCTTGTCGCCAAATCATATAAATCGCCAAAAGGACCAATATTAAAGCTGTTCCGATCATTCAAGTAATGTTCCATGTATTTTAATCTTCTTTTATTTAATAAATGTCCATATTTTTTTTTTAAAGTTATAATGGTAAATGGTTTTTATAAATTAACTAGTCTTGAAAGCCAAATAAGTTAAAATGAACTAAATATTAATTATAAGAATTATAATTTTTTTATGGATGTTTGAAATTGCCCAGTTTGAATAGTTTTTACTTATTGGAAAGGTTACTGACGTTTAAAGCAAATGTGTTACCAATCTTCATAGTTAAGACACAATAACAGGCCGAACAAATACTAATTCAGAAGTCAAACAACAAAAATCAACGTTAATTTGAAAATATAATGCTGATTTTTGTTGTTTGACTTCTGAATTAGTAATCTTCATAGGTTAGTTAATTTGCTTTATATTTATCTATATAGATTAGTTAATATTAAAGACAGTTATGAAATGAATTTTGTAGACTTCACTTAATACTAGTTCCTAAAAATTTCATTTATAATTAAGTAGCTTAACCTTATTTTTATTTACATTTGATATTTAATACGTTAAGCATAAATAATGTAATGTCAAGTCCCGAACTTTTAAAATTCTTGCTCACAGAATTTAAATTTGGAGTTTTATCCTGTACATTATGCATTTTTCATAGTTTTTAGGCAGATTAAATATAAAAGACATACTCTAAATAAGACTTAATTTAGTATGCTAAGTATCTTTACATATGTAAATTCAGTTCTAACTGATTGAATCCAAAAATTAACTGAATTCACATGAATGTGTGTCAGCATCCTTTATGTCAAAATATATTCTTATACTAAATAAGATGTGCTTACAAGTTTTACTTTGTTTATCTGCCATATTTCATAAACAATGAGAGAGTGTTCTTCATCATACACTGTAAATAACATGCTTAATTATGCACTGAGCTTTTCCGAAAAAATACTCTTACCTATAATACTCACATTAACGAGTAAGTATGCAAACACATACTTTCAGAATTCTTCATACATAACTATGTAGAACCCAGATGCAAGGATGTTTAACAGAATCAAATGAGCACAGTACTTATATGTGTGCTTACAACAGTACTTAATTATTTAGTATTATCTGCAAGATACAGATACAAATAACTCATTGCTAATAATGCATTTCATTATCTTCGTTAGTAAGTAACAGAATCAGAAAAGAAACAAATACAGATGCAAATACTAATTACCATACATATCTGTGTATGAGTCAACAATTTTAAGAAAAAAATCAAACTTCGAAGTAGGGGGTCAAATTATAGGCTTAACCTAAAATAATAATAATAATAATAATAAAATCCACTGGCACCGATTGATGACACGTTGGCGAACTTGATTATTAAATATATTGTTTATAGATAAAAAACACAGAATTTTTATTTATTCATTCCATTTTATAAGCAATAAGTTGCATCCCATGATTATTTTCAAATGAAAAACATTACCGAAAAAAGCAGCATTTCCAACAGGTGTTCTTGTTCACGCCCAGAAAAATGGTTGGTTTCAAAATGTATGGTGCAAAATACCAAGTGCACTTTTATGGAAACCTTCGCTTTTGATTTGTGATATGTTTCAACTGCATCATTCAGAAGTTCTTAAAAAGCATACAAAAAGTTCAAAAATCACACTTTCTGTGATCCCAGGAAGACTGAAATCCATTTTACAACCACTGGATGTGGTACGGCTCCAGTAGCCAGGGGGGTACAGCCCCCTAGTTTGTCACACTGCGACGGGCAGCCCGAGCGACTGGTAAGTAATAAATTAACGACCAGTTCTGCCTGGTACCTCCAGGTGGTGCTCCGCCCTCTTTAAGGAGCCAGAGCAGAGGTTGAACATTCGTGCCTGGTTCTGAGGGGTTCCGTATATGCAATTAAGTTCACGCAGGCGGGGAATGTCCAAAACTTACTTACTAGATGGACAGAAACTATCCGCATCATCGATATTCAAGCTACAATGGCAGCGCAGGCGTCAATTTGAGTCTTGTTTATGTAAGGCTCTAACTAAACTCCTAGGCATACAACGAATACGCACAACTGCTTATCATCCTCAAAGCAATGGCTTAATTGAGCAATTTCCCCGTCCTCTAAAAGA